GACGTACCTTGAAGATGTTGAAGATTCCCATATTCTTCTTCATGATGTCCGATTTTAGGAACTCCGACAACTTCTCCAGCGTGTCACCCAGGTGATGGGCGGAGCAAATGCCAAAGGCGGCGGCCAAACCCTGAGAGACGGGAAGACGCGTCAGAGAGCGACGGGGGGGGACTACTACTGCCTTATATCCCCATTGTGGGAGGGGCCAGGAAACGGACTACTGCCTTATATCCCCATTGTGGGAGGGGCCAGGAAACGGACTACTGCCTTATATCCCCATTGTGGGAGGGGCCAGGAAACGGACTACTGCCTTATATCCCCATTGTGGGAGGGGCCAGGAAACGGACTACTGCCTTATATCCCCATTGTGGGAGGGGCCAGGAAACGGACTACTGCCTTATATCCCCATTGTGGGAGGGGCCAGGAAACGGACTACTGCCTTATATCCCCATTGTGGGAGGGGCCAGGAAACGGACTACTGCCTTATATCCCCATTGTGGGAGGGGCCAGGAAACGGACTACTGCCTTATATACCCATTGTGGGAGGGGCCAGGAAACAGACTACTGCCTTATATCCCCATTGTGGGAGGGGCCAGGAAACGGACTACTGCCATATATCCCCGTGGTTGGAGGGGCCAGGAAACGGACTACTGCCTTATACACCCATTGTGGGAGGGGCCAGGAAAAGGACTACTGCCATATATGCCCGTTGTGGGAGGAGCCAAGATACAAACTATGGGGGGAATCTCACCATTGTGGGAGGGGCAGAGACACCAATATACCATAATACAGAATGCTGACTAGGGAACAAGGACATGTAGGTGGCCCTCAGTGGGAGGGGTCAGGGCAGAGACTCCCTAGCACTTGCCCACCAATCAGCAGAGAGAACCCGCCTAGTCCATTCCTAGGTCTCAGGTCTGAAAACGAAGACTTCTACCTATAGGCCAGGCCAGGGGCGGCCAAACTGCGGCCCTCCGGCTGGGGGCGGAACTACAAATCCCATGATGCATCTCTCTCCGGGAGTTGTGGCTGTGAGAATCTTGCAAGGCCTCCTGGGATTTGTAGTTCCACCCCCAGCCGGAGGTTTGCTACCCTTGCCTCTTTCGATACTGACCCCCCCCCTCAGTTCCCCTCCATGGGGGGGGGGGTACACTCACCTCCCGCTCGGCCTCCTCCTGGTACTGGGCGTTGGTCAGCAGCTCCTGCAGCCCTTTCCTCACCACGTCTCGGTTGCAGCATGCTCCCAGTGTGGTTCCAATACATCTATACAGGAAGTTCTGGGAAGAGAGAAGAGAGATGAAGCGATGGCGCCGCCTGCTGACCACCCCCGGCATTCCCGGTACTGCTGGCTCCACCAATCACATGTCAGTGTGGCGGGAGAAGTGAGACTGCCACGGGGTGATGAACTCTATGAACACAAATTGCCGGTCACTCACCACCTCTGCCGGGGAACCGCTGTAGCTGCCGAGCTGCTTCCTCATCTCCTGAGACAAACTACAACTCCAACTCTCATCAGCCACCGCGTGCAGGGAGCCGGCCAGGAGCTGCAACACAGCAACCGGGTCAGAGCCACCGCCGGAGCGTATACACCGTACCAGAGCCGCAACCACACCGTACCAGAACCGCACCGTACCAGAACCGCAACCACACCGTACCAGAACCGCAACCACACCGTACCAGAACCGCACCCACACCGTACCAGAGCCGCAACCACACCGTACAAGAGCCGCACCCACACCGTAC